GAACCTCAAGTCCCTATTATTGGATCATTTCCAATATCTCCATCATCAGTCCCCCACTCTTCGAGTTGTCATGCGAGGCTACACATGAGTCGAGTGTAGCGCCAGAGGCGAGAGCCCGAGCCCGGGCTCGACTGGCACAAGGAGCCCGAGCCAATGTGGAGGTCAATTCGCCTAGTGTGACCCCAAGTGTTGACCTCAATTCCATGAGAGGGGGAAAGGGTCCAAACTCGCCCTACTTTGGTTTGCGGCCGACCTCAACTTGATCAAACCCCTCTTTTGCCGAGCACGCGTTGAGGGACTCATCTTGTCCCGGGTGTACATGCTCATTATTTCCGAGCTCACGCGGGAGAGCTCGTCCTCCAAGAAGCCAAGCTCGTTTGAAGAACCTTCCTTGCCTTGCGAAGTTGAGTTCATGATTTGTTGAGCCCGTGCCAGATACCACACCTCATTTTGGGAATTCGGGCTCGTGACTTGTCCAGCTCATAGTGAAGGATTTTTATTTGTTTCGAGAAGTCATGCTCATGGGTTGCCGAGTTTACCTCAAGGGACCTACATGCTCCTGAACGGTCGAGCCCACACCCAAGGATGCCACTCACTTCGAAGGGCTGACCTCGTTAGATCGCATTGAAGGCTCGTCTTGCCTCAAGTGGCCAACATCATAATTATAGGGGAACTCAACCTCATATACTGGCCAACCTCAATCCCCCGAGAGATGAGAGAGGTCCTAGCTCACCCCACAAAGCTCATGTTTCTATAGTGAGGAGCTCACCTTTCCATGGTTTGTGGTCGAGCTCCTCGAAGGACTAGCCTCACTCTGTGAAGTCAAGGTCATGCATGCTTTTCCGACCTCATGCCTAATGCCTTGCCTCGTCGTAAGAAGCCAATGTCATGAATTTTTGAGCTCGTACCGAAAGTCTCATACCCCGAGTCAATTAGTTTCATCAGAACTAGTTATATCATGTGTAGCTATATCTTTTTTATTTAGTATTATCGACTCTATTACATTGTAGTATCTGTGGTGTAGCTATATTAAGTACAATTGATATACTAATTTTTTAATATAATTCTTACAAAATAAAATATTTGATATTAATTTTAAATTTTAAAAGTTTAGATATATTAATCACAACACATATATTTAAACTTTTTTCACGAATAAATTAAACCTCAAATAAACTACATTGAAAATTGAAATGGCAAAATGCGTGATAAGATTACTTGTTGAAGTGTCAACATTTATATCCCTGAATTGATATTTAGAATCTCTTATTTGCATTGATATTTCAAATTCAAGTCCCTTTCTATAAATTATTTATTCTACGAGCACACATTGTTGTTATATATATATATTTCAATCATCATATCATGAACCATGATCCACATTGTATATATTATGAACACCCCCCCCCCCCCCCCCCCCCCACACACACACACACACACACACACACATATATATATATATATATATATATATATATATATATATATATATATATATATATATATATATATATATTATACTAAAAATAAAGTTCCAATATGCTAAAAACAAACATTTATCAGTGGTTCACCTTACAATGTGAATCATGGTTCACACTTCACAAACTCACAAAATAATTTGCCTATATTCTTGGAATCTTGGTAAATTGTACCCATGGTTTAGAGTCTATCTTCCATTGTGGACCTTGGTCTAAAATGACATTCAGATTATGTACGTGCAAAAAATGTATTATGTACTTTCAATTAACGGATTATGTAGTTGTAAATAAACTGAATGTACATAATATGTCAATTGTAAGTAAATAATACGTTAATTGTAATATTTACATAATTTATTAATTACATGTACATAATTTGTTAATTGTGATAACTGATAGGTACATAATTTATTAATTGAAGATACATAATATGTTAACTATACATAATCTAAATGTCGTTTTGGACTAAGGTCCACAATGCAAGGTGAAACCAGGTTTATGGTATAACAATTTTACATACTTTGGGTAGACTCATTTAATGAATGTTGATAGAATTCTTTGGGCTTAATTAATGTAATATTAGATTGAAATTTTTATGTAAAACAATTTGTAGATTTATAATTATAACTGGTATTTTTTATGTGCGATGTGCAAAAAATAGGTGACTAATATTAATATTTTATATTAAAATTTTAAATTTATTTAGATTTTAGATATTTAAATTTTTGTAAATAATAATAATAATAATAATAATACTGTAAAACATTTTTATAAATTTGATATTTATATTGTAGGTAATAATTAACATATAACTCCATTATATAATGTGTATATATTATTATTATTATTATTATTATTATTATTATTATTATTATTATTATTATTGAAGAAGATAATAAAATATATGGTGGATGCATGTGCATGGTAACAATAGTACGTGGAAAAGATAACGAAAGTTTAATGGTAGGGGTATGTTTGTCCAAAATATTGTAAAGTACAACTTTTATAGCATAGTGTGTGTGTGTGCGTGTGTGTGTGTGTGTGTGTATATATATATATATATATATATAACTTAACGAAAAAAACGAACGTAGATGAAGAGTATAATCTTCATTCACACTTATTATGTTTTTATTTAGAGAAAAAAAAAAAAAAAAAAAGATCATGATAACCTTATCTATTGATAATTTTTTTGTGCATTAATTTATTTACTAAACTTTTTTACTTGCAGTGTATGAAAATTTGAGTCAAATATTAAAATCACAATATTTGCTTTAACCAATTCACCTTAATTAGTTTTATCAAGCGACTAACAGAGTTATAATGAAACGTGAATAATTTTATCAAACTAAAATATAATGTAAATATTTGATCGAATTGAAGCGCAATGTATAGATTTATTATCACTAAAAGAATTTTAAAAGATTAGAAATATAAAACATATAATATTTCAAAATATCATAGCTTAATATAATATTTCAAAATGTTATTCTCAAAGTGAAGGATAAATAAATAATACTCCGTAGTAGGTAGTGACAACATTGTCATCTTATATTGTTTAAAAAGTATGTCGAAAAGGCATTTACGAGGTTAAACTAGATTCATAGTTTGTATAATTAAATGACAATCTAACGCCATTACCACAATTGAATGATTGATGGATCACCAACCTGAAATTCTTATCTCTGCTCTGAATCACACACTCCATTTGTTGCCCACTAGTTTTAATTTGCAACCCCTTTTTGGCTTATTAGGCGATCTCTATCTCATTTTCTAACTCATCCTTGCCAAGGAATAAATAAGGTAGAAGTGTAATTTTAACTAGGGTGTGTTGGGTAAGCCCAGGTAGATAGATTATGTGTGACAATTTGATCATAAAGATATTAGTAAGAATTGAACTCGTGATCATCAAATACTATGATAATGTTCTATCTACTCAATCACATTTTTTAAGGGTATTACAAAATATGCTTTTTAACTTAATAAAAAGTTGTGATTTTTGTTCATCAAGTAATGAAATTGTAAATATGCGCTACAATTTAACTCATATTATATATTTGATTAATAGGTGTTTTGTTCGTAAAAATCATATATAAGAAACACATCCAATTAGGGTGTAAATCAACTCATACAAAATTTATAACTTACATCTTTTGATTTCTAAATATAATTTTCTTAATTATTATTTGTATTGTAGGAGTTATAATATATATTAAATATAGTTAAGAATAAATCAATTTGATTATGTAAATTTTATTTATAATTAAATTTATCTAAATATGTGCATGACTAGAGACTATATTAATCATGCAAAATTTATTTTTAATTTTGTGCGCTATGAAATGGCATACCTGACTAAATATATAAAAAGTCCAACTATATTATTATCTTGTACAGTTTAATATCTTTTAATTTTTTTTAAAATTTTTATTTAAATTAATGATAACTTAATTTTTTTCATGCATTACACGCGTAAAACATTGATATAAATTATAAGCGACAAGGATATTAAGATGTGGGGATGATTAATCATTAATTAGGTTTCAACAAGGTAGGTAGAGAGAAATGGAAAAAAAAAAAAAAAAATCTTGACGGCAATTTATATCGTGCACCACGGTGCACATAGCAATGTGCGTTCAAGTACAAAACACGCGCGTTTCATGCTGATGTCATATTGATATCACTCCGTCCATTCAAACAAATCAAACCTCATTATGTGTATTCAGTTAAAATTTTATGTGTATTATGTTATGAGTTTATGTGTATTCAGTTAAGAGTTTATGTGTATTATGTTAACCAAACTCATTATGTGTATTCAATTAAAAATTTATGTGTATTGTGTTATGAGTTTATGTGAAATTATGTGTATTTTATTTATTAACAAAACGACATCGTTTTGGGGGGGGCGTGGCACACAATGATATATATATGCGCCCTGGTGCACGATATAACGGTTGAATCTTGACCAGACATGTGGCAAAGCAAATCTTGGACCATAGGTATTTCGATTCAACAATAATAAATATATGAACAAGGATCAAATATGTTATTCAATTACATAAACAGATAATTAAACTAAAAAAAAAGTGTAATTCAACCATCAAACAAACAAAAAGCATGCAATTGCATCGAATAGCTGTTTTCCCAAGTTAATAGCCGGTCATCTAGCTTAAGTGGTATCTCTTTTACAACTTTTACTTGTAAATTAAATAAATTTAAAAACAAAAGTTAAAATTGCAAAAGCTCAACTGAAAAGCTTTAGAACCTCTAATGGCTACTTCATCTCTTTGAGTTCCTCTGTCATTAGTTCATATCAAATAGCCAAAACAAAGGCTTTGTCTCTAGGAGACGAAGCAAAAACATGTCTGCTTCGTCTTCAGTAGACGATTTAAAAGCATATTTGCAGAGTGAGATGTATCAATTCATAATAACCAATAAACCGGTAACTTTATGCAATTTCTTCAACAAGAGATTCAAATACGGAGATTTCAACAAATTCTTTGGGATGTGATTAGCATGGCATAGTAAAACACCTGGTTACAACATTTGAATGGAAATAGGAGATTCGCATCATTCTCTCTCAAAAACTGCCAAAGCAAAGTACAACACAAGCAAAATATACTGCAAAGAATGCAACATTCTGTGGAAACACAATCTTTAAGTGCTAAGAACATTCCAAAAACGCACAACACAGTACAGCACATTTTGCTGGTTCTTCAGATTGTATTAAATATAATTTCAATGTCAACCAAAAGTGCTCGTCAGAAACATTTGCTACTTGCTGACAACCGGCCGTGTTCATGTTCAGAAACCTGTTTCTCTTCCCCTTCCAAATAAAATCACCTAAAGCTACTACTATTTGGGTAGTAAACTGACCAGACTTAAAATAAAGAAAACTACAGCTCGTCTAGTTCTTCCACAGGAGGGCAATGTGTATGGAAGGGACAAAACAGATTAGGTAAAATACAGGAGGATTGTCACCTCACCTGATTCAACTCATCTCCACTTCTCCTGCAGCTCTTTCTGCTCTGACCAAATCCATGTTATGAAAATAGCCACTACAAGTGCAACAATAGTAAGGAGAAGCAGAGCATAACTGAAGTCGTCCGTTAGAGAATCATAGGTCTTTGAAGGAGCAAGCTGGGTGAAAAAGAGATCCACTCCATAAGCAAAGACGAGGGTGGTGGACTCCAGCTTTGCCGGAACAGTTACTATGCCCCTAAGGCCTTCTGCTTTTACAGCATGAGTCACATAAGACTGCAAAATTAACCTCAATTCAGTAAGAAGATTACAACACTTGTCTTCATATATATATATATATATATATATATATATATATATATATATATATATATATATAGGGTCAGGTTCCTGTGAGAACAGAGCTTCCCGTGCGGTCGGTGCGGTTTACACCATTAGGTATGCATAAATGCACCACACAGTGTTAGAAAATACACCATTATGTGTGGTGCATTCTTTTGGTGTGTGGTGCATTTTGTGACATTTCATTCTGGTGCATTTTCGAACACTGTGTGGTGTATTTATGCATACCTAATGGTGTAAACCGCACCGACCGCACGGGAAACACTGTTCTCAATTGAACCAAAATCTATATATATATATATATATATATATATATATATCTTCATTCATATAACCAACAGACTCTGTCCACATACCTACATCATAGCTAGTTATCTCCTCTCTTTTCAAAAAGCATGTTTAAAAAGACCACGGTTATACAATCAAACATAAATGGGTTTCTTATAAATCCACATTACAAATTGGTGGTTAAACAAGCATTCAAACTCACTTCTATCGATAATAAATTTAATAAAATAGAAGGGTAGAAAATTCCACCTGTGGGATTATAGGTAAAGAATCAGTAAGAGGTATTATTCCATCCTCTTTCTCAGCTTGAGTTGGATTCACAGTTCGCCGAGGATCTAAAAATCGCTTGTCTAGTGCCAAAACCTATACAATGTTTAATACATATATACATATAATGTAAAGCATTCAAATAGGAAGAAGGTATACTGCAATGAAGAAAGAGTATCAAACAACAAAAGAGCAAAAGTGCAAACAAGAAGTGTGTAGAAAACTGAGAGCAAATCCAACCTGATCACCAATTGTGCCAATAAGGAGCTGCTTGGAAGTTATGCCTTTGGCTGTTGATGTTACTGCTATTGTTTTCACAGAATGTGCAAAAAAGTAAGACTGTGACTTTGCCAAAACTTCAGGACGCAAGTAAGATGAAACTGGTTTAGTAAGATTATGCTTTCCAAGAACAAGTTTCAAGAGATCTTTGTTATCCTGCAGAATTTTCAAAGTTTAGATAGGAAGCAACCATGAATACACCCAAAAGAATACAAAGAATAAGATCCAGTTATGAGATGCACCGCTCGAGACTGATCATAGATCTCAATGACAGACATTTCATATCTGTGTGCCCTTAGATTGAAGTAGTGGTAGACAACCCAATTCTCACTAAGCACCTTCAAACAGAAAATTGCATGTTCAAATTTAGTTCACCACAGAAGGTATGGAAGAGGAAGATGACTGAAATAAGACGGATAAAAATGTTTTTTTTAATTTTATTTTATAATGACACAATTGGCAAGAAGAAATGGCTTAAGTTCAATCCATTCACTTTTGGCATAGTGATTTTTTTTTTTTTTGGCAGCAGAGCTTGGTTATGGGTGAGGGTTGTTTATTATTAGCACCAAAGTAAGGCAAACTTACTGCATGGACAGGTCCCTGCGAGCCTTGATGAGTCATGCGGTGAAGAATGCGACCAGTTACAGTATCAATTAGATAAACAATTAGCCATGACTCATCTGGGATTACTGAACCAATATCACCAGCTGCTTTAGGTGCAACAGTAGCCACAAAAAGCATATTCTTAGATATGTATTTATACATCACATCCCGATCTGTGGTTACCTTTGCTTGAGTATGAACCACCTGGAAAGAATGAAACAGCAAAGCGTTAAGTTATAATCCACAAATAGTGGCAACATAACCTAGATGACAGTAGGTGGAAGAAATTTCGGCAGTAATACCATTGAGACTGTCACCCTTCATCACAGTTCAATAAGATGTTAACTAAACCTCTAGTGCAAAGGTAAGCACTAAATTAAGTAAACTACATTAAATTGCAGTACCAACTGGAGCTTTCCACACAACAATTGACATGCTTCCACCCTTTCTCAACAGAAAAAAGTAATGATAGTGGATAACATGGAGCCATCTTGGACAAGTTCCAGTTCAAGGTTGTCAACCAAAGATGTACCATACCCATAACTACTGAGAGTTTCATAACACGACATAGATTACAATGAAAAGGAAGGCCAAAGCAGAAATGTAGGCAAAAAATCAATTTCTTTTAATGAAGAATGTCTAAAAAGGCATCTAAGAATTTAATGGTATTAAACTAAAGGAGGAAGCAAAAGATGATGGATTTCCTGGAGATAATTTTGAGAACCAGTTATTAATTCAAAACAGCATGCAATAAAGAGAAATAATTACCTCATTCAGTTTTCTTGTAGCAGTTGCAATGATCTGTTCTGATTCTGAAGGGAATACAACCGACCATACATACTTGGTGGCAAAATAGTAGTCATCACCCACATCCTTAAAGTAATTCTCCTTCACTGCATGCCCCCTTAAGATGTTATTGGCATCTACTGAGTACCAATATATGTTTCCCAATTCACGTTTGAATATTCCAAGAGCCTCAGGAGTTCTGGGATATAAGTGCCCATGACCATCAGTATCTATCAATAGATGTAATCGTTGCTCAGTGGAATCAGTATATGGGAGAGGAATAACCTGTGCAATGGAATGAACAGGTTTCAAAATTTTGAGTTCCTTCCCAGTGTATGAATCAACAAAGGACAGAACACTTGGAGCATCTGAATTTAATCCACATTTGCCAACTACAAGAACCGATGGATTCTCATCCATGGCATGATGATGAGGGACCTGCCACTGATATATCTTAAGCCCATTTGGGTTTTCACAAGTCTCTGATTTTCGAAGAGCATTCACTAGGAAAGACCATACTATCCTCCCATCTCCAGTGTGAAGTGCATAAAGTTTCCCCGACCGACTAAGTACTATGAGTAGTTTCCTAAATCCATTATGATCACGGGTCATCTTGCTTTTCCCAGAGCTTTTTAACCTCATTTGTTGTATAGCTGCCACATCATCAGGGGTAGCAAGCATCAGGGTTCCTTTTAGCTTTAGCAAATGTCCCTTCCAGCAAGAAGAAGATAGATACAATTAGATCTTGCCACAGTTGAAAAATAATAGGAAACAAATCATCAACTAAAATTAGATTTATAGCAACTTCACAGTTATAACTACTACTCTAACTATCCGTGTTCTCTTTCTTTCATCAGAGAATAAAATACATATTTGCCAGAAACAAAGATGACATTGGAATATTGACAACAGAGCCCAATGCCCAATGCACATGCTAACTCATTGAAAACCACGGTTTATGACCACAGAATAACTGAAGAAAATAATTACAAAAAAGTGTGAGTTGACAGACTTAAAGGAAATACCCTAACAGAAGCAAAGTAGATAATAATGCAAAAAGATTGAAGATAATACATGGAAGGAAATGGTGTATATAAAACCAACAACCCTGGCAAATGTTCATTAACAACTTGGTGCATGTTACGATTGTTTGATCCAACTAAATGCTTCTTGAGAAATTGATTTTTTTCCTATAATCTATCCTTCAAAGCCATTTTATACTTACAGAATTTGGTGCAGCTTCTAATTTTTGGAGATAATAAGCCCCAAAGCAAGATGGGCTAAACAAGCACTTAGAACCACATGTCAAAAGTTTTTTAAGATAGTTATACAAAGCAACATACCTTAAGCCATTCAAAAAGGTTCTGCTCCACTTTGGAAACAGATACACCATCCTTTTCTACAGGTAATTCTGATGTTGTTACATCTACAATAGAGGCAAGTCCATCTTCTCTGCTCCAAACAATCTCACCTTGTTGTAGTAACAATAGGGAATGATCTTCTAAGACAATCAGGGCTCTAAATCCATAAGATCTGTCTGTCCTGATATAGTTGTTGATGAAAACCTTATGAACAAGCCCCTTTTGACTGTCTATTGCAGAGCTTTCCTCAAGTAAATTGCTACCCCAGTCATTGATTGATTTTACAGAGAGATGAATCTTACCAACACCATGCTTGATAAGCCCAAAAGCTTGGTGACCTTCAGAAAGCGACAAAGATTCACTGATAACAGCACCATAAGCAACTTTATCAACTACCTCCAGTTTCCCTTCATATGTAACTCTAAGAAATAATACGAATTTGTTTATATGTATAGCAACCATCCCTGTAAGCTTAGAAGGTAAGAGCACAGCTGCTCCAGTAAAATCCTGAACAAGATCTGCTATATGCACCTGTTGGAAGTTAATTAGTCCATCCTTGAAAATTATAGATACTAGGATTGACCCAGTGGAATCCAGTGCCACCACTTTCTCACTTGTCACTAGTGATATGTCACCAGAAAATCCGCCAGGAAATACCATGCTCTCATGCTTTAGCAGTTCACCCTTCCTAGCATTTATTTTATATGCTACAAACTGGGATGAACTAGTGAGTCCTACAGCATATACATCATCAGTGCCGTCAGGATGAACTATATGTTGAATGTCAAGGCTGCAAAATTTAAAAAAAAAAAAAAAAAAAATGCGAACACTGGATAAAAAATGCCAAAACAACAGGTGACAAATGTAAATTGATACTCCAAATTAGTTATCAGACCCTTCATTTGCTAGCTCTTTCTTCCAGATAACTTCCCCATCGGTGCTTGAAACAGCATGCAAATACCCACTACTATAAATAAGGATCAAACTGTCCCTATCCACTTTCAAATTTGACTGCAAAATGTTTAGAAAATCAAAAAGGGTTAATGGTAGCACTTGGAAAATCATGTAGAAATTATTATATGAAAGCATTTCTGACCAGCCAAAATTAATTTACTGAAAGTACGAAAATAATTCCCTAGGAGTTTTAGAAATTAAAATGTTGAACTTACAGGAACTAATAAAATTGATCTTGAAGGACTTGAGCCAGAAAGGAATGACTCCCACACCATCTGGCCATCTGGAAGGTTCCATGCTCTTAAAGTGCTTCCAGATGACAGAGTAATAACATCTGGAAGAAAAGTAAATTAGTCATTGAAAGAATAGATGCAACATAAATCAGTACATTATCACTATATATATCCAAGGGAATGCAATCACTTAAACAGTATAGTTTTAACATAAATTTAATATCCCAATAAATTTCACATTCCTACATGAGAAAGTAAGCAAACTATATGAAAATCAATTATCTCTGTAGAAACCAATCAATCATCATCATTATTAGCCAGTGTTACAAAAATCCCACCTTTCCGATTAATCGGCAGCACCTAGGCGCTGGCCAGCCACCTACCCTATCACATTAATCGGTGGTCGGCCGCCTAAGCGCCGCCAAGGCCACCTAGGCCCGCCTCCTAGGCACCAACTAGGTCGCCTAGTCGGTCGATTAGCTATTGTTCCCCTCTTTATTAAATGGGTTATTTCACTCAAAACGACATCGTTTTGAGCGAAATAAGCCTAAATTGTTCAAACTCTAGATGTTTTTTTAGGTTAATATTTAATATTTTAGTATTAACTATTAAAGTATTAAATAGCTTATAATTATCAAGTCTTACAAATTAAAAAAAATTTAAACAAATTTTTAAAAAATAAAAAATACATGGGCACCTAGGCGCCCGAGGAGAGCCTAGCGATTTTTTCAACCATGTTATTAGCTAAGTTATTCTACCTTGAATAGAGAACTGCAATTTAAGTAATTTTCACTCACCACCAGTAAGAAACAAAAATAGCAAAGAACACATAGAACTAATGAAATCACAAAAATGAGAGAGAGAATAATAGGATTACATTTCCCTAGGGCGATATCAATTCCATCAATCACATCTTTGTGCCCCAATACATGCCTCCAAACTGCAGATAGTAAAATTAGATTACACAGTGTGAATTATCAATGCTATTCAGCAACTACAGAACTACAAGCAGAAGACCAAATAATTACTAAGAGTTCATTTGGTAAAGTGTATGTAATTAGATTATTGAGATAATGCATTAACTAATACACTTTCTACATGATTATGGTAAAAAAAAAAAGTGTCAATAATCTATAAGTAACTCAGAGTTAACTATGAATGGTTCACAATCCATAATCATAAGCTTTACCAAAACTGATTTTGATCTCTTTCAATTGAATCAAGGAACAACTTACAAATATCTCCATGGCGAAGATCGAGGGAGGCGAGGACATTCTCTTCAGTGGAGACAACCACGCGCTTCCTCCCCGCCTTCTGCGTGTGGAACACTGCGTGCTTCACTTTTCCGATGTACCGTTGATGCCTGTCATCATCAATTCAATTTTTTATTTTTTTAAAAAATCATCAATTCAGAACATAAAAATACAAATGCAAAGAGACGTTTGTGTATACAAAGGAATAGAGTAAAAGTACCAGTCCATGAGGCCGACTTGGTCTTCGTAGAGAGAGAAGGTAGTATAGGCGGAAGAGAAAATGAGAACGAGGAGAAGAAAAGCTCTAATCGCCATGGCTGATGGCGATTTGAACGTTACTTTCTAGCTCTGCAAGGAGGAGGCGATACAAACAGATCTGAGCACGGAGCCAGAATTTCCTTTGAGTGGGGGCGAAGAAGCAAAGGTAAAATGAATTCAAAAATGTTCAAATACAATGTTAAAACACTATATATATATATATATATATATATATATATATATATATATATATATATATATATATATATATATATATATATATAATATATATATATATATATATATATATCGAAAAACGCTCATATGTGGTCATGTCATTAGGTGTGGTCGTGTGGTCGTATCTGTGTCATTGAATCAATTTAATCTAAAGGTTGTGGTAATTCTGAGGATTTTCGCGCGTTTTAGTAAGTGGGGGTGTTATGGTAATTACAGTGACCATTTATAGCTGGCGGGTTCCAGAATACACCAACAGTGTTGACAACATACACCAATAGTGTAACAAAACACACCATAGTGAAACACACCAATGGTGTATTCCCGTGTTATGGTAATTACAGTGGCCATTTATTGCGGTCGAGTTCCAGAATACACCAACAGTGTTGACAACATGCACCAATAGTGTAATAAAACACACAACAATGTGATTTTCCTTATTCCGGTGTTTTATGACAAGTTTACCCTTACAGTTCGCTGGGTAGGAGAATGTGCGCGAAAATACTGAAAAAATCTTGATTAATATGATTCATTAGATCTATCTAATCTAATGGTCTATAATTGACCATAATACCATATGACCACACCTAACAACATGGCCACATGTGATCACTCCTCTATATATATATATATATAAGAATTTTTCGATAACTGAACCAAAAAAAAATATAATCTAAACAAGTATAAACATAGAATTTTCCAGCAAACAAATAAACTGATAAACATTTAAGCAAAGCATAATTTCTGGAAATAAAACACTAACAGTCTCTAATTTTAACACTAGTTGACAAAATGACAATCAATTAATAAAATTCATCAAAATCATCAGGGTCACAGACTCAAACTGGCACACTGCCAATAAAATTCATCAAAATCTGCAAAAATGGATCAATACTTTGGAATCCTAATTTCGAATTGAATTCGTATCACACATATGAACTAACACAGAGTTAGTCTTACAGAATACACTAATACGTCAACGGTTACGGAATCATTCAAAAACTTTGAACACACGAACATAATCAAATTGGGATGAAAGGGAAATCATTTACAACTCACAAGGTTATGCACCAAACCAAAATCTTAAAAAAGAAAAAAGACCAGACCCACAATTTCTCAACTTAAAGGAAAGATTGCGACATATCCAGGAGGCTATGTATCCTGATAAATACAGACAATATACATACAAATACAATACAAAAATACATTAAAAAAAAAAAAAAAAAAAGGTTGAAGATTTAAAATTGAGGGAATTAGCCAATTAGGGATTTATCAATCATCATGAATCAGCCATTAGGGCAAACAAATTAAGAGAATAAAGTTGAAGAATAATGAAGATCGGTTCGAACCTGAGGCTATAATAAATCTATAACGGTGGACGAATGGTGAACGGACGGAGCCACGGAGGACAATAGCCGGACGACGGTGGTCGGTGGAGGCGTGGAGTAATGGGCCGCGAATCTGCAAATCTTCGATGAAGAGTTCTGATGGACTGATGGAGTGATAGAGCGTCTGTCTAATTTTTGGCAGCCATCTCCGTCCCTGGATCTGAGCAATACAAGTAGAAGATGGAGACGTGTTATGACTTCAGTGTCCAACTCGTCGAGCAGTGAAGCCTGAACTGGGAAACCTTTTTTCTTTTTTCTTTTTTCTTTTTTCTTTTTTTTTTCTCCCCCTTAAAATTTTCCTATTATTTTTTTTTTCTCCCTCTTAAAATTTTCCTATTATTTTTTTTTTCGGCTTGAACTCCCTTGAAGGCATCAGAATTAACGACGGCATTGAGCTTCTCTACGTAGCCGGTTAGGAAACCTTTTTTAATTTTTTTTTGAACAAATTGCACTTTTGGTCCTGTGAGTAGTATGGTACTGGCAATTTGAGTACGTGACTTTCAAAACTCCCAATTTAAACCTTTAACTATGCAAAAATTGACAAATTTGGTCCTCCGGGCCAAATTGCCGGCCAATTTTGGCCGAAAAAACATAAATTGGTTCGAATTTATTTGTGTTGAGGGCAAAATCGTCATTTCACTCCCTTCTTCTTCATTCTCCCTTTCTTCTTCATTCGGGTTGGCCGTTGTGGCTACGGCGCCGATGGCTACGATACTGAAGAAGCAGAGGGGGAATTCAACGGAGTTGGGAGAGAAGATCAGAACGACGTCGTTGTTCCGTACGCCCAGTTGATGCATTAACCCATGCGAGACTTTTGAGACTTGGGATTTTAATTGGGAGAAAGTTAAAGTCCGGCCGGAGTTGGCGTCGACGAGGGCCGACTTGTCTGGGTACTGAGAGACATTCCGGAACAGAAATGAGACCATTGAGAGGTTTTGGTCTGAAGGGAGCACTAATGGCGGCCTTAGAGATCTATAAATGCCGTCGCCGCCGTACCCTGACTTCTCCATCAGTCGGCGACCTAAGACGCAACCGGAAAAGATCGACGGAACTGAAATGGGGAATTTGAGGATTTGCAGTATCAGAAGCGAAGAAAGAAGAAGAAGAATGAAGAAGAAAGGGAGAATGAAGAAGAAGGGAGTGAAATGACGATTTTGCGCTCAACACAAATAAATTCGAACCAATTTATGTTTTTCCGGCCAAAATTGGCCGGCAATTTGGCCCGGAGGACCAAATCTGCTAATTTTTGCATAGTTAAAGGTTTAAATTGAGAGTTTTGAAAGTCACGTACTCAAATTGCCAGTACCATACTACTCACAGGACCAAAAGTGCAATTTGTTCTTTTTCTTTTTTTTTTGGAAGGAAATTACAAATGCATTAATAGTCAACCAAGTGAGAAATACAGGCCGATGGCACAGACAACCACAATTCAAGAATAAACGAAGAACAAGTTGCTCATGCTAATACATGAGCCACATGATTCGCTGACCTCTTGACATGGTGAACAGACATGTCCCCAATGTCACTAACAATAACACGACAGTATTTTTTTTACTCTGTAATTTTTATTTTCTTGACATCTCAATCATTCATTTTATGTTTAAAAATACACAATAATACGGTTAAATAAGCCTTCAAATTTTTTAAAAATGTATAATTAAACTTGTAAATTTACTTCATTTGTTGAATCTCAAGGAAATAAAAGAGAAAATATTAAATTTATTTTTAGCTATCACAAGATTTGAGCTAAATGTTTTATATATATCAACATTATTAAAAAAAATATGCAATTTAAAAATGCAATTAGAAAATAAATGTCAACAAATCCTTAGAATTGAAATGATGTAGGTAAAACTAATTGATTGTTGGGCATGACATTTCAGACAAAGTGCATGCTCGCTACTCTTTTACAAACACTTTCTACTTTTTACATGATATTTTGCGTAAAGTGCATGCCCGCGACTAGTTTACCAATACTTTCTACTTTTTACCATTTTCTTCTTTAGTGTGTTTAAATTTTTAAACAATAATAAATATATTTTTTAATAATTGCTATATGACAAATAAAAGAATAGAGTTAATTCCTTTTTTGGTCCTAGACTTATGGTGGCAAAAACAATTTTAGTCCTTCTTAAATAATTTAGACAATTTATGGACACAGTTATAGTGACGAGGACAATTTTGGTCTTCCGCCAACATTCCCGTTAGATGGACGTGTTAGCGTGGGGTCTTTGCGTCATTTAACTTATCTAATTCTTTATACCATCTGTTCTGTTTAGTTCTTGATTCCAGAGAGTAGGGTTTCACGAAGCATACTTCATACATCTCAGTACGCAATCGAAGTCGAAGCAAATTCAAAGTCTGCAAATTTGTTCGAAGGAAAATGCAAGGAGGAAGCTGTAACTCTTCCAGTTCTTTGACTACAATGAGAAAGTTATATGGGGAATGGATTTCGATTATGTGGTCAAGAAATGGTTTTGAAAACATCTTGGACAAATGAGAACCCGGGAAGGAGGTACTGGGAATGTTCAGGATGCAAGGTTAGTTGGAATTTTTTCTAAAAAAAAATTACAGTGAGTATTATCTTCTGGGAAATTCATTAACTTATTTCTTTTTTAATTTACAGTGAGTATTATCTTCTGGGAAATTCATTATCTTATTTCTTTTTTAATTTGCGCAATTTTTTTCAAGATGGATTCGTGGCTTGGTATGATCCCCCGATGTGCCCTAGGTCAAAGAGGATTATACCGGGCCTATTGAAGAGAATTAACAAACATGAAGAAGAAATTGCAAATTTAAAATGCAAGTTGAGAAGATGGGAAGATAGTGAAATGAAGGATAATCATAGGAGTAGAAAATATAGATCCATGATGGTGTTTGTTGTAGTTGCCCTTATTGTACTGTTAATTGGTTATGTTTCAATTGTTGTATCTATAGGGAATAATGTGTATATGCTTCCATAATTGTTGTTTGGTTTGATAATGGAAATGTTTTGTTGTTTAGCTTGTCAATGGATTAATGTTTTATCATTTGTGTGTCTGTATTAGTAGTTAAGGTAAAAACAAAAGAAACACATACATTTCTTAAGCTAATAATGCAAGACTGCCATACACTTCAAATTGTCTATAACAAAGACTGTCATACATTTCAAATTGTTAACAAAGATTGGCATACATATAGAGTTCCAACCAATTATAAGGCTGATATAATGTCATTGTGCCAAAAAAAAAAAAGGTCAAGACTGCCATACATATAGAGTTCCAAAAAGTAGTCTAAAAAACAAGTGAGAACATCACTGCATACATATAGTGTTCCAAAACAAAGCAGTCAAAAAAGTAGTCTAAACATTCAGTCAATTTGCACAGGTGTGTCCAAGGTGTTGGTGAACCTTGACTTCAGTGTTGTCCTAGATCTTGTCATAGGTGCCTTTCTAAT